TAGACAAATGTGAGGGATTGTAGCCCCAGGGTACAGGCTTTTGAGGCATTTTAGCTGGCCTGAAGATCCAATGAGGGATTTTAGCTATTCTAGTACATGCAGGTGAGGGAATTTGGCTGGTGAGAGCACTGCCTTGAGGGAATTTGGCTAGCCTACAAGGTCCTACTACAAAGGAATGCATGTGCACCTACAAAGGAATTCAATATGCACCATGTGCCAAAAAATGAATTCAAGACAAAACAAAGGAATTCAATATTCAATATGCATGCAGTATCCAAAACAAGCCATACTGAGAGTAAAGACTCCAAAAGATATCCCGTGACAGGTTGAAATCCGTGTAACTTCTAAACTATGAGAGATATGGGTTCAGTTGTAGTGGGTGACTAGGGTTAATTTTACCTCAGGAATCCATTTCTGTTTTTTTTTTATGATATATTTAGTTTATCAAGAGATAATAAGAAATTTTTATATTTTCTGTGCAGAAACACAGTATTACTTACCTGTAGCATAGCAGAATTCCGCCACATCTGCGCTAACACTACGTGCAAAGGGAGCAACAGTGAGATAACAGTTAGCGCAGCTTTAGCACAAAAAATTGGAATTGCACTAACACTACATGCACAGGGCACAAAAAAGTGCCCACTATGCTGTGTTACAATGCTTTTTTAGCGGATTATTGGCTTTTTTGCCACTAAAAGCGCTGTAGCATAGCGTAACACAACATAGCGCTGGTAGTAGCGGGCTTGCACTATAAAAAAATGGCCCTGTTAGGGCCGCTACAAATTAGTGTAGCGGTGTGCTAACACTACACAAAAAAAGAGCCACTTTGAGTGCCGCTACACTAACACTAAGTGGCCCTGTAGCATAGCAGCCCACTGCTGGTACATGTGCCTTGTCAACCAGAAGGTTTTTCTTCCAGTAAACAAGGCACAGGTACCTTGTTTTCCGGAAGGAAGACCTTCCGGTTGACAAGGTTGTGCCAACGGTGCAACAGAGACAATACAAGACTGTATCAGGTGTTTATTTGTATTGTCTCAGAATTTGAATACCCAAAAATACCGGATTTGGGTTGTCTCACTTTCCTGAGAAAATACACATGTTTCATCTTTGATAAGTGAGACAAGTATTCTGTATTGTCTCAGATGACTGACCCCAGTACCAAAACCGTATTTGATACACAGATATTTGGCCGTATTGAAGAAAAAAGAGAAAAAAACAAAGACATTTTTTTTTTCATTTGTAAATCCGAATCCAAGACAATAAATTTTGGGGGTTGGAAAAACAACTCCCAAAAATTTGCCAACGACTCCCATTTTGGTCAAGGGGTCGTCGGACGGGAGTCGTCTTTCCAATCTCCCCTGGGGGATTGGGAGTCAACCTCCCAATTGAATTTTTATTTATTTTGTTTTTTTGGGTGGGAGTCGCACCCAAAACCCTCCTTGGCAAGTGGGAGGTTTGGGAGTTGTCTCCCTCCAACTGGCCGGGGGGATTCCCTCTGGTCATTGAGACTGTACAGTCTCAATGACCGGAAGGAGTCCCTTCTGGTCATCAAATGGTCTCGATGACCGGAAGGGATCCCTTGTACAGTCTCAATGACCGGAGGGAATCCCTTCTGGTCATCAAATGGTCTCAATGACTGGTATGTAAAGATGCTGGTCATTGAATCGTCGCAATGATTTGATGGATTCCCTTCCGGTCAGG